GAGTTCATTTCTTGATATGCTGACCTTCGGATGGGTGGCCCCTTCCCCCTCAACTACATTGTCACCCGTTTTTCTTTCTGGAAACACCGATGCACGCAGTTTCTTCACTTCAATCGCACTAGTTTCGATCTTGTCTTCCATTTTTCATCATAATCTGAATTACCCAAAATTATCCTGAACTGTGCCTTTAAGCACTATATTTGTATGGTTGCTTCAAGAAGATGGTAGGCCTTCCCCGACTTCGAACCTAATTACATGGTTACTACTTACAAGTAGGATGCGGTATTGACTGCATCCAGATGGGACCTTCATTTATGCATTCTAAAACTTACTTTTCTGGTTATTATAATGCTGATTTGTCCACGTTCTGCAATTTCACCTGTGACTTGTTTTGGGTCTATTACAAAACTTGAATTTGGATTCTGCATAGAGAGCTGGAATAATCGAATCCTCCGCAATTTTATTGTAAAGGTTTTAAATATATGCTGCTACCATACATATATCTGAATTGTAAGGGCCATGACTTGAGAACATACTTTATACGTCAGCTTTAGGTCACTGTAATTCATCATCCAGTGTCGAGTGGTTCCTGCTCTAACCATCAAGGGGTTCCGCGGATTCTGGAAGCATATAATACCATCCGTTGCCATGTTGTACTAGAAATGAATTGATCTAAGTTTGAGTGCTATTTTATAGTCGGATAACGACTGTATCACAAGGAGATTTCACTGTAAACAACAATTGCTTTGCTTGAAAGAGCAATCAGTTTATCGAACCGGCTACGGCTACACTAAAGCTACTAGCGGGTACGGTTCCCGTTTAAGCTTACTGTAGGCCATGCAAAGCATCCAAATGACAATCAAAACGCCATGGTGATCCACATAAAAGGGACGTCATGTTGACAAACATTTCTCACCTGGGAGCAGCTACTACTGTGATGTAAAGTTGCATGCGAGCGCGATGGCCGAGCGGTTAAGGCGTCGGGCTCAAGTTCCAAAGGATGTACGTTCTCGTGGGTTCAAACCCCATTTGCGCTACAACTTTTCTAAAACTTAGTTGACTCATTTTATTGGTTGGATCTCATGACAATCGCTTGAGAAAGGTTCGGTTCAATCTAAATTTTTGAGTGTCTGTTTCGAGTGTCATAGCGGCAGATCGGTGGTTTCAGAGGAAACCCGGGTTTACTCCCTAATAAGCTTATGGGACTGACTCATCGAAGGTTATCCATACTAATGTATGGGACTTTTGAAAACGTAAAAAATGGCAGGATGATTCAAGCCTTGAAAGGAGGTCAACAAAGAATTCATTGTCGTTGTACCGACTGCCATTGCCACCCATATGCCGAAATAGGTACCCAACAGTTATATTCTATGAAGGTTTTGTAGAAACCATGGCCTGTACCCGAGTAATGTTCATGCAATTTTATTGTGCTGGACAAGGCGGATATAGTGTAGGGAGAAACGACGCAGTATCACATGCTTCAAAGCTGGAGGGCTGGGTAGATGACTTCGGAGAGGCTTTGCTTGTGCTCCAAACATCCACAACACAACATTTATTCATCGAGTATCCAAAAATATCATCTGTACATATTATGATTTTCTGAAGTGCAAACATACTGCATCACTTTCGAGCTTGTAGGCACCGGTCACGCTTAGTTCACAGTGGCATACGGTTGGCGTGACCTGTGTATCGACCGACCAATAAGGACTACGTGAAACCATCGTTCCCATTGGTGGATAGTAACAATCTTTCATAAGGTAGAAAATTCGGACGAACCCAAATTCTTACCGTAATCCCACTATTGCCTTATAGTATATTGAATTAAAGAACCAGCACTTACTGTTTCGACTATTCTCAAATGATAAGTAATTGGTGATTACGGTAATAATTTAGATTTCTACCGAATTTTCCCATTATTAACCATCCTGTCCGTCCGTTTACAGCTTGGCCAGCCTACGAACTGTCTTCCTAGCATGGGAATCGTGCAAAAATTATACGCTTAACAATATATGGCTATAAAAAATATCATTCATACGAATAAATAATAGGAAACCTACAGTATTAGACATATCAAGTAAACTCATCAGCAAAAGAATGGTTGTAGTACTGTGCTGACCTTTTGAAGGTGCACTGAAGAAAAGCGTTTATACATCTATACCTAATGGGAATGTTATAGATGCAGACCTTCGTTTGGGAATGCACAAAGAGTGACGAGGATAAGAATTGTGGGACGTCACAATAGGTAGCCGACGGTTTTGGGATTCTGCCAAGTCAGCCAAGGTCAAGCCTGTGCTGCGGAACCGTCGTACTTTTCTAACAGGATGAAGGTGACGGGATAGAGACACTCTTTTTTCCCGAGCTCTTCGAGGTTCGGGATCAAGGCGGGGTATGATAACGGTATTTGGGTAAATATTCAAGGAGGTCCACTTGATGAAGCCGTGTTCCGCAACACCACGTTTGGCCCTGGAAATGGCAGAATCGAATACGGGCTGTACGGTTGATCGATGTAGCATTGGGCCTATCGTTCGGACATCATTTTCACAAACTCCTCGTAGTCAATCTCGCCGTCACCTGAAAGAAATGGAGTTTTACTGCGACAATAAATGATCTATGAAGACTGGGAAGCAGACAAATATTATCAGGGTAATCATAGCGGGACGACTGCCGTCACTCTCTTGTCCATGTCCTCGCGTTAATGAGATCTCTGAGACATAAAGGTCTCTCAGCCTGGCTGAGACTGATCAACGACCACTTCTGAGCTGTCATGAGTACCCATTTAACCTATTGCTACCAGCCATTTATCACGAGTCCAAAAAGTAGTCTGAAGCGGATCGTCCTATAGGTTCTTTAGGCGACTGGAAATTCTGCAGGCTCGTCCAGTCGTCTAAACAACCTATAGGCTCCTCCGACGAATCGTCAGCGACTCTGCAGAACTCCCATGGAACCTTTTCTATAGTCACAATTGAATGGAACCGGAACGTTACCGAAATCATATAGGTTTTCTAGGGTTCCCCAAGTGGATGGATAAAATCAGCCTACACACGTAAAAGCATCATTCCAAAAGCTCACCATCAACATCAACTTCGCGGATCATTTCATCCACCTCTTCTTCTGAGAACTGCATACCCATATGGATCTGAAATCACCAGTTTCATCGAGGTAAGTCACAGTGTACGACAAAGCGGTTAACTATCATGGATCTGGCATGTAGGTGATATTTTCTACCGTATCTCATCTTTGTAGAGAAATCTAGGAGAAAAAAATGAAGATTTCTCCTGTTTTCACGGCCTCAAAACTTGGCAGGGAGCCATAGCGATAACACACGAGCGATGTTTTTCAGGCAATTCATTCCCATATCCCTTATGCCTACTCGCTTCCCCCGATCTACTCTTAGAATTCTTATATGCTGCTGAACTTTCCTATATCCCATGTGAAAGGGCAACGGAAGTGTTTTTATTGAACTGCATGACAAATTGAATTTTCTATTCCCAGCAACTAATTCCTATCGTCACTTGGAAAGCCATTATGACATGCAAAGTCGCAGCGCCCCAACGACAATCCGATCGTACTTCAGTCGCCGAGCACTAATTGTGTGAAAATGCTTCGGGGAATTGCAAAGCCAATCCAAATAAAACAACTAACCATGAAATATCGGAATTCTTGAGCTGTAATCACACCATTGCCGTCTTTGTCGAATACACGGAATGCTTCACGAATCATTTCTGAATCGGTTTCCTGCAACGAGCACAATTTAGTAATGAAAGCAAAACAGCATCTATTTGTATGATTTCTTTTCTTTTTTCAGGCTATGCGCTCCACTTACACAGCGATAGGGATAGGAATGTTCCCATCACTTGCGTGCATCCTACCCTTACCCCTTCACGTCAATTTTGTCCTGGAGAGGGGGAAGGCTGACTCTCAAGTCAGGCTTTTCTCAGAAAAAAGGGTACAATCCTTTCTAGAAGGCGATCGATTCAGTTTCGAGATCTGACAGTACACCCAACGGTATTCGGCTCATAAAGTGGGTCACGAAACTATCTGAAGAATCGAGAGCCGCGATTTGATACCCGGATCACATTAATGGCGATGATTAGGCTTACCACCCCACGGGTAGACGTTATATGGATGGTGCAATCCCAGGTGGACTCATTACTATGACGGCTCCATGCTTTGCTGTCAGAAGTAGGTTGTCAAAGGGAGGCATTCGAAGGTTTTGGCCGCATAGGCTGTTTCGGGCACTGCGGAAAGCTCATTAACTGTATCGAACTAGATTAGAAACGATTTCTATCCCCAGAGATTCACCGTCAGATCCCACATTACCCATTTACGTGGTCATTTCCCTTCCCTTACTGGTAAAGGTACTCAAAAGCATAAATACTTCTATAGTATCATCTACAATGGGTAGCAAGCAAATGCTTTCCATACTTAAGCAGTAAAAGAATTGCTAATTCAAAATAACACCAACCTTCATCATTCGTTTCATCATCACACAAAATTCAGGGAATTCAATCTGACCATTGCCGTCCATATCGACTTCATTGATCATCTCTTGGATTTCCTGAAAAGATGCGATATTTCTTTGGGCTCATAACCGTTGTAAGACATGGCGCTTTTGAACCACTGTTGCCGGTCTCTTCCATGCAAGACCCGCACTAAATCATTTTTACCGTAAGCTTTGACTATGGCCTTGAAAAGAGAGTAAATGCAATTATCAGATTCATATTACCATATGCCTCTGTTTACCATATGCCTTCGTATCATGGAAATGAACTGGCGAGGAATTTCCTCACCGCTCCGAAAACCTTTGACCTCTTGCTTTTAAAGGTTCGAATGTAACCAAAAGTAGTGGGTGCATGGTCCCTTCTATCGCCGTGGGTTGTACTCCGTCATTTGGCAAGAGGGGAAGTGGTTGTTACTGGGAAAGGGATGTAGAGTAGTTTCCGAACATCGAGTACAATATTTCAAAGAAAAAAGTATTCTGAGTCGGTACTTCCAGGTAATTCCCCCAATCCAAGTAGTAGCTGGTAATTGAATGAGTACGGCCATTACTTCTTATCAAGGCTTGGAAAGTCGAGGAGTGTTAAGAGGTGAGGTACTCCCTCGAAAATGTCTCTTCCTCTGAAAAAGTTGGTTCCTCATGGTTGTTGCCTCATCTCAACATCAATTTGAACCCAATAGAATGTAAACCAATGTGACGTCCGAGGATTTATTACCTACTGGTTGAAGTTTTGAGTTAACAACTAGTCCGAGAATAACATATTATTATCGGATAAGACAACAGCTGTGGAAATCCTCTCAACACATCGATTTGCAAAACAATCTATGCGGCATAACATTAAGGCAAAAGGGCAAAATAAAAAAANTGGCAACTTTAGCCTGGAAGCCTTTTTGGCCAGCCACGACGTCCATTTCCCGAGATCGATTTCCCAAAATTCCTCTGAAGTCTGAGCACGGGTGGGTAGTAGTATGAGAAAGAAGATTATGGTAAACCTCTTTAACCAAGATTTCGTTCGGAAGCTAGGGATTTGAGGTGATTGCTCTCATCCGATTAAATTCAGGGCTCGCTTAGTATTCGTTTTCCGAGATCCTTTATGAAGTACAAGGACATTAAATCATTTGAGGGATGCGCCCCGCATTCCACTTCCATACAAAATAGTAGTGGCGGATTTGAATGCTGTGTGTGCCCAACAGAATGACTTGTGGTGGTTAACTGGTAAACTGGCATGTAGGTGCTTTTATTCTTTCAGGCAAATCTCGCACCTATGAAGCGGTCGGGAAAAGTGGGGAGCCCTGTCGTCTGGAGCAAATACCGATCCGTCATTCGGTTCAGGGTATGAATCTGTAGGCGTAAATACCTTTTGACGCAGACAGTATACGTCCATTATGAGTATAAGTCACGATTAATATCAAAGGGTGTAGGCACGGTAGGATCAGCTGTGATAGATAAATAACACTGACGGTACACCAGTAAATCTTCAAGTAATTGTAAAACCTCTACTTATCATTGCTTACCTGTTCAGTTGGATTTTGTCCTAGTGATCGCATCGCAATGCCAAGTTCTTTGGTGGAGATCGTTCCGTTCCCGTCTTTGTCGAACATCATAAAAGCCTCTCGGAATTCATCTACTTCTTCGGGGGTCAACTGAAATCAAAGTAAATTCATTTTTGATTTGAGTTTTATAAGTAAAACCCTAAACTTCCTGGCTCCCCATACAGATCTCAATGCACAAGCCTCAAGATCGACCCTATCGATGATAAGGAAGGATATGAGGGGTTACGTTCAAAAGAAGTAACACAGAAATTACTCAACAATTTTCATATTATCATTTTATACAGTCCTCTACCTCCCTCAAAGCCCTCCCCAACCTTTCCCGGATAAACTCCCACATGTTTGAAAGCAGCAGGAAT